GGCCTGCCATGTTTGAAACTTTCTGAGCACAGCTTAAAAATACTTACTTCATTCTTAGGGGGAAACAAATGGAAAGGAAAAGAAAAAAAAATAGGACAGTCAGATGATAAATTTTGTTTTTCTGGTCCCCAGTGAGCCAGAGGCCAAACACACAGCACACGTATTCTAAAACAGGAATGGTGGGCCAGCCTCCGAAGGGGAAGGGGTTCTGGGAGGGGTGCCTGAGGCCCCGTACATAGAGATAGGAGGAAGCAGGCAAGGGCGCCATGAGGAGGGCAGGCGGGTTGCAGGGTTGGGGGGAGCTGGGGCCACAGGGAAGGATTTGGTCTGGATTGCTGGCACTTGAAAGAATGAAAGACTGGAAGCCGGTAGAAGCAGCCAGGCAATTCTGTAACTTGGAAGGCACTGCGAGGTTTTGGATAGAGTCTGGCATCCCATGTTTAAGCATGGATTGGGCCCCAACCGAGTCCCCCGCCTCGTGATGCTGCGGGACCTCGCGAGGGAAGCCACCCAGAGACAGACACACAATACGACGTGTGATAAGTGCTTGGAGCCTGGAAACTTGCTCTCCCCCGCAGTGCGAGGGCAGATTCCTGTGGTTTCTGGGCCAAGGCGACCCTACAGGAAGCTGCAAATTTGCAGTGTGCCCAGATGTTCCACGCTGATGGCCTTCTGGTCTCCTGCAGACCCAAGGTGGGCGTTCTCCCTGTCCCTAACACTGGGGTGCCTGTGAGCATCTGTTGGTGCTTTTCAATCCCATCATGCTTGGGAGTCCCAAGAATGAAGATGGAGAGAGAGCACTGGGTGGTGGTTCATGTGGTCTGCGAGTGCCTGGCCCCCTCTCCCCAGCTGTAGGGAGGGCTGGGGGGCTCAGAGGGAAGCAAGGAGCCGACTCTGCTGGGACCTGGCGGCCATGGCTCCAACATGAAATTATTATGAATGAACCTTGAGACTTCGCCTCATCGCTGGCACAGACTCAGCCTGTTTTGTGCCTGAGTCTCCTAGGTGTGAGACTGGGGACATATGTGAGAACAAGCTGACATCGCAGGGCTCAGGGCAAAGCTAATGGCCAGCAGAGCCAGGGAGTGACAGAGACACACCTCCTGGGCTCTGGCCCTCGCTCCGCCTACTGTGTGACCTCTGGCCTTTGCTTCTCTTCTCTGTCTCCTCACCTGGAACCTGGGATATAACAGAATCTACCTCACTAGCTTGTTGCAAAAATTTGGCACGTGTGGGCCAGGGACCTGTGTGACTCAACCCATGTGCACAAGTGCTCCTGTGATAGCTGCATCCAGAGAGTGCTCTGCCTGGACGGTCTCACTTCACCTTCCTCACAGCTCTGGGAGGGAGTTGCTTTGTTATCCTTGTTTTACAGATGGAGCCCGAGACTCAGAGAGGTTAACTAGCAGGCCAAGGCTCTCATAGCTAGCAAACAGCAGAGCTGTGATGTCCATCTGGTATGTCGAGCGGTATCAGCGTCTGCACCCTGGTCACCTGCCCACCCATGACCAAGCATTATCGCCTGCTTCCTCCTGCTCTGCTCCATTCTCACCTGTTCCCTGGCTCCCAAGATGTGTGCCAGGGACCTTCCTGAGCCACTGGGTCACAGAAGGAAGTAGAAACATCCAGTGGATAGCTCTTCCCGCCACTCCTGGCCCCTGTGTGCACACACATAGGTACACGCGCGAATACATGCATACATACGCGTAGGGATGCACGCACATGTACACACTCACACATGCACACACATGAATGCAGGCCCGTGTACATACAGATGCACACATACACACATGCACACTCCAACACTTGCATACACACACTTTCACACATGTTGCACACACTCAGAATGCTCTCTGGATGACTAGCTTAGCCAAGAAAACCATCTCCCTCTTCCTCCTGTCAAGCTCCGTGGTGCTTCTCCCTCAGACTGTGTGTGTGACTTCACTACAGTGTCCCACTCACCTGGGAGTACAGACAGGCAGTAGCAGAATGTCCTCAACCACTGGACAGGACCAGGAAGGATACCCACACAGTCACCTACCATGTGCCAGGCCCCTGTTTGTCGAGGGTCATGACCCATTGCACAAGGCAGAAAACAGGCTTAGGAAGCTAAGGGGTTTGCCCAAGGCTCACACAGCTCGAGAACGATGGGGCAGGATTGGGACCCAGGAGGGTGAGGCCCGGCAGTGAGCCAGGTTTTGGATCTACACAGTGAGCAATACAGACCTGTTTCCCACAGGAGGGAGCACCCGGGCTCCTGGGGGGAATCAGTCAGAGAACAGGCAACAGAAAAATAAATAAAATCGTTGGCAAATTCCTATGCCAGTGACCTGAGACTGAAAATGACAGGGCAAGCTACTTCAGTTGGAGAAGGAGGAAGTCCTCTGGGGGAAGACCAGGACCATAAAGATGAGAGGAGCTGGCTTCACAAAGAGAGCCTGGAGAAGTGTTTGAAATAAGGACCAGCATGAGCCAAGCCTTAGGGGACCCATATGTAACCCCCAGCGGACCTCTCTTTCCTGAGCCAGGGACTGTGTTACCAGCAAGCTCTTGGTCTGCGTGGGGCTTGAGAGTTATGCTGGGACACAGTTATGCAGACCTCACCCTTTAACGTTTTCCTCATCAGGCTCCCTCTTCTCAGCAGGTATTAAAGATGCCAGAAGCAGGGAAGCCCCTTGGCCCTGCCCCTGGCATTCCTTCAGGACGGTTCTGCTGACACAGCTTTTTTCTGGCCTGGGTGAGAACCCACAGTCCCACACTTCTGGCCATGGTGATGATGATGAGCTTCCTGTTGACCCCTGAACTGTGAGCCCTGGAATATCCACCAGGGATTCCAAAGAGGTGGCCCTTTCTCTTGTTCCCTTTATTTATAATGCATGGCCTTCCTCCATGCCAAGAGGAAGCCTAGTTTTATTTACATGTCAGTGTCCCAGAGGGCAGAGGGGCCAACCTGGCACCTTTGTTCCCCAGGCTGACTCTGGGCTCCAGCTGGCGGGTTGGGACAGCTGTTAACTGCTCAGAAATCAGAGACTCAGATTTTTGAAGCTGGAAGGGATGGGCATTTTGCAGATGAAATGTGAACCCAGAGAGGCCTGGGTTTGCCCAAGGCCTCCCCGCCAGTGCCAGAGCAGCAGGGAGGATGGAGCGGTCTTGGCTGTGTTCCCTGCTGTGGACAGTCTCCATCAGCAGCTGGATGACGGCACCCAGATGTTTGCCGAGTGACTGTGCAGCCAGGGAGTTAGAACAGGGTCCCGGAACTGACTGCCCAGGTCTGAATACTAACTCTGCCATTCGTGAAGTGTGCCTTAGAGCTCAGTGCCTCCTCTTTCTCATCTGCAAAGTGGGCTGATCGTGGCACCTAATGCAGAATTATTGGGAGGAGCGACTGAGCGGATGTGTATAATAAAGTACTTAGATTCTGCCCCTGGCAGGTACTAAGGTCTCTTTTTGTGTTTAATAAATACATGTATCTATACATAGGTACCGTAAATACATGGAAACAGTTAACCCCCTGCCAGAGCTTCTGCCTAACAAGAGGAAAAACGGGCCCAGAGTTGTTTGAGTCATGTGCCCTGGAACACACAGCCCTTACACACAGGACCCTTTCTGCCCGTGCCCAGTGGTGGGCTGGGGTGTGGCAGGCTAAGGAGTCTGTCCCCAGGATGCTGTATTCTCTAATATGTCCCAGGAGACAGGGGACAGCTCCTCTTACCTCTGTCACCAGAATTAGATCCCTGGGCCCTGAAAGGTGCCCCCAACCTGGGGCTCCTCAAGCCTGTAAAGGGTCATTTAGAATGGGGAGGGGGACAGGGGCCCCCTAGCTTACTCTACAGCTTCGGGGATGAGGGAGCAGCCCTCCCTTGGTGGGTTCCTCCGTCTCCTGGGATGCTGGTCTCGTCCTTACCTGGCTCTGGCTGCGTCCTGCTTGACCTTTACTTAAAGACCAGCTCTAGCGGCTGATGGGTTTCTGCGGGTCCCCGAGGAGACCCTTCAGACGGCTCGAGCCAGGCAAGCTGGAGAGAGCCCCTAATTGGGGCAATGAATCATCGAGCGCGGCTCCCGGTTGGACACAAAATAGATAGAGGAGCCGGCGAGCTATTGTGCGCAGTTTGGGACGCGGGGGGCAGGGGTGGGGGGGGGGGGAGCGGGGTGGGGGGGGGAGCGGGGTGGGGGGAAGGAGGAGGAGGAGGAGGGGAGGACGGGCAGAGGGGAGGGAGCGAGAGGGAGGGATTCCCCGCCCGTCGCGCTCCCGCCCTCCTCCTCCCCTCCTCCTCCCGCCCTCCTCCTCCCCCCGCCCTCCTCTTCCCCTCCTCCCCTCCTCCCCTCCTCCTCCCCACCTCCCTCCGCACCGCCCGCCGCCCCGCCTCCCTCCTCCCCAATTAAATGACCCAACGCTTTGGCAGGCGCCGGAGCTCGCACATGCGGCTGCCGCTCCAGCCGCCCGGAGCCCGCCGCCGTTGCTGCGTTCCGGGCGCGCTCGCCGCGGCGCCGCCGGGGGCTCGGCTGGCCGGGGGGGGCGCCTCTGTGAGCGGCGGAGCGCCCGTGCCCGCCGCCAAACTTTGCGGCGCGCACACATGCTCCAAGTTGGGCGCGGCGGCGGGCGGTGAGGGCCGCCCCGGGCGCGCGGGGGCCGGGACGGGCGGCGCGGCGCGGCCATGAGCGGGCGGCCGGCGCCGGTCTCCCGCAAGCAGCGGCTTATGGCAGCCGTGGGCGAGCGGACGGCGGGCGGCGGCGGTGCGCCGCTCTCCTGCTTCATCTGCGGCGGCGGCATCGGGCGCGGCAAGGAGCTGAAGCTGCAGGTGAAGCAGCCGGTGGCGGCGGCGGGCGCGGGGGCCCCGGCGCAGCCCTTCTTCCCGTTCCTGCAGCAGCAGGAGCCCGCGCCCGGTGCGCGCGAGCTGTCCCCGGCCGACGGGTGCGTGCTGGTGTGCGCCGTTTGCCGCTGCTTCCTGGGCGAGCAGTGGGCCGCCTTCGAGCGCGCCCGCACGCCCGTGGACAAGCGCATGTACTGGCTCAAGCGTCCCCACCAGTGCGACGCGGGCGCGGGCGGGCGCCGCGGGGGCGCCGCGGCCCCCCGCGAGTGGAACGTCGCCTACGCGCTGGGCGGCGCGGACGACGAAGAAGAAGGCGGCGGACCCGGGCCCCGCGCGGCTGCCGAGGAGCCTCGAGACTCGGAGCTGTCGGAGCTATCTGACACCGACCCCCTCTCTGAGCCCGACCCGGCGGCGCGTGACGCCCCCAGTCCCCACCAGGATGGGGCGCCAGCTGCGTGCTCTGCCCCGGGGCCCGGGCCTCGCGGTGGCCGCTGCCTGGAGTGGAGGCCGGCGCTGGGACCCTCTCCGGGACAGGGTGTGGAGACCCTGGAGTCTGGGGATGTGGAAGAGGAGGGAGTCCCCTCGAAGCTCCGCGTGGATGGGGAGCCCAAGGCTGGCATCCGGCGCCGGCGAAAGGGCCCCGGGAGGCACTGGGTCCCAGAGGCCCGGGCCAGCGTCCTGAGGGGCGTACAGGATCCTTGGCAAGGGCCTTCAGTGCAGGTGGCCCCTGCAGAGGGAAGGAAAGGAGCTTCTTTGGGCAGGGTTGCCAAGACTCCCGAGAGCAGGCCACTGGGGGAGAGCCGTGGGGGCTACTGCATGTCTGAGGACAGTGACATCAACATTACCAGCGAGGAGGAGGACCGCAAGGAGCAGCCTCTCCCAGGCCCCCGAGGCCCCAAAGACAAGGAAAATGGTAGTTGCCGTGCTTCCCGGGTTCCCCTGGAGAGCCGGGCAGCACCACCAGAGGGCCTTTGCTGCTACATCTGCGGGTCAGCGCTGTCCCCGGCCTCGCAGCACCAGATCCACGTGCAGAAGCAGGAGAAGCTGGCCCAGGCCCCCTTCTTCCCCTTCCTGTGGCTGCACAGCCCGCCCCCGGGGGCACAGCCCATCAGCGAGGGTGGCAGCACCCTGGTGTGCCCCTGCTGCTTCTCGTCCCTCATGCAGCAGTGGCAGAGCTTCGAGCTGGCCCGTGTGCCCGTCCTGCAGCGGCTCTACGTGGTGCCCCTCAACAGCCACGCTCCCGGCATGGCCTTCAAGGGCAGGCGGCTCCTGAGGGAAGAGGGCCCACCCGCTGGCTCCCTGCCGGAGGCCTGCTACCTCTGCGGGGAGGACTGCACCCAGGACGCCCGGGCCGTGGCCTCCAGGAGCCTCAATGGCAACGCCAGGGCCTCCATGCATTTCCCCTTCCTCAGCCTCCTGCCCTGCCCGCCCAATGCCCAGGGCCCCAACAAGCGCTGTGAGGTCCGCAGCTGCCCCAGGTGCTTCAGCGTCCTGGAGGACGTCTGGGCCCTGTACCGGGCCTGCCAGAACGAGGAGCTCATCACCTCAGTGCAGGGCTTCCTGGGCAGGTACCACCAGGCCTTCTCTGCCTCCGACCCTACTCTCTCCGAGCCGCCCTTGTCAGCCCAGGGCAGCCCGGCATCGATTTGCTATATCTGTGGGGCTGAGCTGGGCCCCGGGAAGGAGTTCCAGCTCAACGTGAACCCATCCAGCCGCTTGGGTGAGAAGGAGCCCTTCTTTCCCTTCCTCACCGTCTATCCGCCCGCCCCACGCGCCAGGCCTGCCGACGCCACCGGCCTGGTGGCCGCCTGTGTGCTCTGCTACCACGACCTGCTGGGCCAGTGGCTGCGGCACGAGGCCCGCAGCGCCCACCACGCCGTCAGCCCCTGGTCTCGGCAGTACCGCGTGGAGACATTCGTGTGCTTCTTCTGCCAGCAGGAGAAGAAGCGGTGTCTCGGGCTGAAGGCCGTGCGGGTGGCCCGGCTGCCCTTGTTTCTCTACACTCTGCGAGCGAGCCACAGCCTGCTAGTGGATGACGGGCGGCAGCTGGTCATCGGCGCCTGCACAGAGTGCGGGACCCTGGTGTGCGCTGGCCAGGGGCTCCCTCGCCAGGCACCCGTGGGCTGGAGCTCCCCGGTGGCAGCTGCGAGGAAGGTAAGCAGCCGTCCTCAGTCATCCTCTGAAACCCCAGCAGGGAAAGAAGCGATGTTGTTTTCTATTCTGTTGGGGAGCAGTCTGCACTGATTCTGTGCGCTGTGTTCCAGCAGGAGGGGCCCTCTCGGGTCACCCTGCTGTGCCTGGCTGAGCTCGGAGGCCTGGAGCAGGCCAGAGGAGCTGGGGGGCCGAGTGGTCCTGTGGAAGAATAGGGCACTGCTGAAAGCAGCAGGCATGGGCCTGAACGTGAGTGTGTGTGCAGCGGAATCTATCAAACAGAGGAAGTTCGGGGCATGTCTGTCATCCGCCTGATAACATTGGTAATTAGTCCAGCCACGCGGGTCACTGAGAGGTCTCGTACTTACCCGGTTTGAAACACATCAGAAGTTCCTCTCTCTCTCTTGTTCCCACTAGGCTTAGCTTTTCCAGAATTTTCCACCCAAGTTCACACTTTTCCTTTGAGGTTCTCTGGTTGCTTAACAGCCGATGAAGACAGATTTCCAGACATGGAGGTCTGGGGCCCAGGAGACAGCGTCCTAGACAGGCCTTTCTCCCGGTGGGAAGAGAGTCTTTCTTCTCTGCAAGTCAGCTGTGCCGGGGGAGGGTGGGAAGCCTGGCGTGCACCCTGTTTATAAGGCGCCTGCCTTCACGCTGCCTGCCCGGGAGGAGCCAGACGGGGTTCAGTTAATTTTGGATCCGGCTTTGCAGAGGCCAAATCAGGAACTGCCCCCGGTGGGTCTGGGGAAGTAGACGTCTGTGAGTTATGATCACCGTCATGGCTACCGGGGCCAGGAATCCTAGTTTCCACTGAAGCCAGTGGTGCTAGCTTGTCTAATCCGATGCCCGGAGTGGTGGCCACTGGCAAGGGGCTGGCGGAGGACACGTGAACAGGGAAGGGTGCCTTCGCTCGTCCAGGGGTGGATGTCCATCTGCTTGAAAGCTTCCTGAGTCTGCCTGCCACACGTCCATGTGTGTGCGCGTGTGTGGGCTCCTGGGTTGCGTGTTCATACGTGGTGGCTGAGTCTATAAAATAGGTGCCTGGCCCTGATGCCTTTGTGCTCTGCCCAAGGTTCTTTCAACGTCAGCATCCTCTTTGGGCTTAGTGCTTTCTTTGGGAGCTTTGGTCTGGTTTGGGGGCTTCTGTCTTTAGAACGGTTTGGGGATGGCTTCTCACCCCCACTGTAGATGTTGACCTCTCCTGGCGGTGTGGGACAGCCCCGCCCAGGGTTTGCTGCTGGGAATCTGACCTGCAGTTCCTGGAAGGGTTGGACCGAGAAGAGCCCAGCCCATCTTTGGAGCAGGGCAGGATTGGGTTCCAGTCCTGCCCCTTCTCTCATTAACTGAGTGCCGGAGAGGACGCCTCTCGTCCTCCCTGAGTACATGTCTTTAAGCTGAGGAGTGGAAATAAACATTACGTGCCTCATGGGGCCATAGTGAGAATTAAATAAATCGGGGTATTTGATTGCCTCTGCAAAATCAAGTGCTTGGCATAGAGTGGGACCCCTCATGTTCTCCCGGTGTGTTGGGACAGAGTCTTCCAGGATGCAGGTGGCTTCTGCAGGTTGGGTACAGATTTTCATCTTGGCATTGGGGGCCATGGGGTCATCAGAGCTCTCCCCATGAGGCCTTTCAGACTGTTTTCTGCAGACCATCAAACCATGATGAGTTTTCCCATGTTGGTTTGCTCACCTGTTAGGAGTTGCTGAAATGCCAGCTGGGGGCCTTAGCTAATAGACCTTAAGGAAGGGAAAGAAGCTGCAGTTCCCAGTCCAGCTGGGACATGGGGCACGGAGGGTGGCCAGGTGTGGATGAAGACACTAGCTGCAGTCTGCCCAGAAGGGGCCAGTGTGAGTATGGGAAGGCTGAAATATCACACTAACTTTTGCACCATTTCTAAAGCAACTTATCTCATTTGCTCCTTGCCATGTCCGTATGGGACCTTATTATTCCCTTTTTAGAGATAAGTAAATGGAGACTCAGAGAAGTCAGAGAGCCTCAGTGACTATTACACAGCTGGTAGGTGGCCGAGTTGGGTCTTGAACCTAGGTCTTTCTTCCCCAATGTCCTGCTCCATCCAACTCTCTGGTGAGGAAGAGCCTTGGAAGATGGGTGGGATTTGGTGGGGGAGGATTCAGGAGAAAGGGAAATAAGGTTGGCGTGAACTAGAAGCCTTGAAATCAGGAAAAGAAGAAAGGGTTTAGAGTTGAAGATGCAGAGGGGCAATAAAAAGTGAAAGCAGGTTCAGAATGGGCTGGGGAGCGCTTCGCCTGGGGCTGGACTGTGGCAGCATCCCAGGTGGCAGGGGAGGCCACCCCGCCTGCGTGAGGTGGGGCATCAGTGTGGGGCTTAGGCTCTTCCAGACAGAGGGAAAGAGAAATCACCACTCTGCCCCCAGGAGAGCCTGACTGACGGTCAGCAGACTGCGGGAAACACAGCCTCCCGTTCCTGCATTTGCGCAGTAGATATTTATGGAGCGCCGCCTCTGAGCCAGCCACTGTTCCAGACCCTGGGCTCTGGTAGTGTCAGGAGAGGACAGCTTCCTGCAGAGCTGTGGGCACAGCAGGTGAGGCTACTGAGTGCCAGGGCGGGCACAGGGTGGGCACTCAGGGTCCCAGGAGCTGCAGGCAAGCCCGGGGCGGTGTGGGGGCCCCCACGCGCCTTTCCCGATTCCAGCTCTGGAGATTCTGGTGCTTGCGTCCCTATTCCGTGTCTCTCTTGGGGGCAGTTTGAGAATCTGGGGTGGGGCAAGTGGCTGGGGCATTGGAAGGTGGCCGCAGGGAAGCCACTTAGCTGGGACAGTGTGTTCCAGAACCTGGTCTATACCACCTGCTATGATGCCTCAGTTGTTTCCTGTTAAGTATTTACTCATGACTAAATCAACTAGAAAGAAAACACGGAAGGAAGAAAGGAAGGGTGTCACTGGTACGTACCTCTGTTTAGATCGTGGCTTTTCTCACCAGCTGGTCCCCTCGCCCTGCAGAGCCCCGTGCTCTGTAGCACTGTCTCTGAGCTGGCTGCTTGGATAGGGCTGTGTTGGGGGTGGGCTGGGAAGGCTGCAGCCCACCTTTTTGAGGGTGCTTGTCTGAGGAGGAGCCTCTGCACTGGGACCCTGGAAAGACCCTGGCTTGGCCTTAAGACAGATCTGGCTTCAGTCTTCATTCCGCTGGGAGCTGACTGTGTGACCTAGGATAAGACTCTTGCCCTCTCTGAGCCTCAGTTGCTGCCCCTGAGAAATGGAGATGCTCTTTCCTCTGAAAAGTTTATGATGTGACAGCTGCTGGTGGGCCGCAGAGATATGGGTCCCATTCATTCCCTTCTCATCCCTGAGCTGCTTCTAGCTTAGGGTTGGTCTCTCACTGGCACCCACGGGCTCTGGTGTCCCAGCCTCTGCCTCCACTTTTCTGCTGGGGCAGGGAATGATTGTCCCTCTTGAGAGCTAGGAGGCATGGCTGGCCAGGCTATAATAACCACAAGGGTCTAGAATGCTTCCCAAGTTCCAGCCTGTGCCAGACTTTCCTGTATTCCCACTCACTGGGTCCTCACAGCAGCCCCATTTAGGGAGGTACCGCTGTCCTCATGTCATAGAGGGAAAAGCCAGTCCATAGAGGTCAGGGAGTTTGCCCAAGGTCACTCGGCTAATGACATTGAGGTCAGCACTGGGCTAGGAGCCTGGCTTTGGAGTCTGCACTCTTGACTTCTGTCCCCTCTGGGGCTCCAGCCGTAGGGGTGGCAGCGCCCTGGGTGGGGAGGTCTTAATAGTTCTTGTGTGTGCCCCTCCCCGCGCCACCCCCCCCACCCCAACTTGAGCCGGCAGAGCAGCTGGGAGGTAGGAGCCAGCTTGCCTGGGGCAGAGGTGCTGAGAAGCCCCCACCAGCTGGCTCTGCTGCCAGGCGCCGCCCCCTGCACATTTTCCCACCCACGGAGAAGTGGTGCCCTTTGTCTTTGCTGCCCCCAGCATCGCCCAGGTGTTCAGATTTCAGCTGGGACCTCCTCCTGCTGCCAGGAGAAGCCTACTCCCGTCAACGATGGGTTTGCCGCGTGATCAAGCGCTTTCCTTGTGAGCCAGTTGGTGGCCAGGCCGCCCTTGCCTCTTCCCTCTGTCCAGGGAGCGTTCTGGGCAATGGAGCGTGCAGCTGTTTACCTAACCGCACCCTGGCCTTCTCCAAGGGGACGCCTGCCCAGCCCCCTGAGCCCGGCCTCCCAGCCTGGAACAGGTGTTGCCGCTGGGCCGCCTTTCTTTTCTCTGTGCTGACATCTGAGGCCTGCAGAGAGCGTCTGTCATCACTCGCCTGTCAGGACCGCGCGCACATCTGTTTCCCGTGCTCCCTGCTCTCTGCGCCCACTCGGCTCCTTGCTCTTCAGGGAGGGCCTGGCGGCCCCTCCTCCCAGGTCCAGGCTTGAGGGGTACCTGGACAAGGTGATTGGTTGGGGGAGCCTTCCGGAAGGTACCAGGAGAGGCTGCCAGCTGGGCTGACACTGGCACCCTGTCCCTGGCAGCTGCTGTGAAGTGACTGGGCGTCAGGCCTTTCCCAGGCTCTGACCACCTCCTCCGAGGGGAGGTCTCTGCTTTTCTTGGCGAGTTGGGAGCCATCTGCTCAGTCGAGTAAACTTTCCAGATGCGCCTCGTCTTAACCCTGGAGGTGATTGGAGACAACTGGGATGGCCAAAGGTCTTCAAAACTCAGCCTCCCTGGAGACAGGGAAGGGGCTGGGGCAGGGCTGGAGGGGTAGCTTGCCCAGAGCCTTTTGGCCCCTTCTCTGCTGAGATTTCTCTGGATCTGACCCCTGGAAGGTTAACTCTGCTGTGACTGTCTTCTGAGCGATTGAAGGTTCTGGCCTTGTTGGCACATTTTCTTGGCTGAGGAAGAGCCCACATCTGGATTGCAGGTCCATCTTCTGTCCCAGGCCCGTGTCGCTGCAGGGACTGTGGAGAGGGATAGTGCTTCTGCCCTCTGGGAAGAACATTTAGGACCTTGGCTTCCATTTGCCATTCGGCCCCAG